ATATTCTATCTAAACGATAGCACACTATATAGAATTTCCTTCAACACTCCCCCTGGTGCTGAGTTGTAGATAGAATTTGGTATCTATCTTGTTATCTCGTCAAAACCTCTGTCGAGTAACAAAAACCATGTGGGAAAAAATAACCTTGACTGGAGAAAAAGATTATATCATCATGATAAACTTCTTTCATTAAGTCTATCTTTATTTGATATTTGCTTTGATCATATGTATCGTTACCTCATTAAAAACCTTACCAAGTAACAAAACCAAGTGGGAAAAATAAAACTTGGTTAAAGGAAAAGAGCGTAACGTAGTTTATGTGGGGAGACTGTCCCTCAGGTCTACATCTATCCTTAATATTTACATTAATCAAGAATATTTGGAAAGTATATGCATTCTAATACTTTTTACGTTAATCACCATATCGAAGGCACACAAATAAAGGAATATATTTCCTTAAATTCTCCCCCTATGTGCCAAGTATAAGGTGATAAGAGTAAAAAATTTTAAGTTTCTAAAATCTTGCCAATGAACAAAATCCAATGGGAAAAATAAACATCAGTCGAAGGAAAAATATGATGCATTAATAAGCCCGCGTCAATTACTTTTGACTGCGATATATTAATTATGTTCTTCCTTCAACATAATTTATCTTTGCAAAAATAAAATGCGGGATGATGCATATAGTTTACAAGTACGGGCCAATGGGCCCATAATACATAATTTACATAGAAAGACCCTAATACATATTCTATCTAAACAATAGCACACAACATACAATTTTTTTCAACACTCCCCCTTGTGCTGAGTTATAGATAGAATGTTGTATGCGTCTTGTTGCTTCTTCAAAACTCTGTCAAGTAAAAAAAACCCTGTGGGAAAAAATAACCTTGACCGGAGAAAAAGATAGGCTTCTTCCATTAAGTCCATCTTTATTTTATCCTTGCTTTGATCATTAAAGTTTATATGTGTTGTTACCTCATGAAAAACCTTACCAAGTAACAAAACCCGGTAGGAAAAATAAAACTTGGTGAAAGGAAAAGAGTGTAACGTAGTTTATGCGGGGAGACTCCCCCTCATGCCTACATCTATCCTTAATATTTACATTCATCAAGGATATTTGGAAAGTCTATGCATTCCGATACTTTTTATGTTAATCACCATATCGAAGGCACACAAACAGAGGAATAAGTTTCTTTTAATTCCCCCCTGTGTGCCAAGTATAAGGTGATAGGAGTAAAAATTTAACTTGCTAAAACTTTGGCAATGAACAAAACCCAATGAAAAAAACATTGGTCAAAGGAAAAAATGTGATGCACTAATAATATTAGCACACGCCAATTACTTTTGACTGCGATATATTAATTATATTCTTTCTTCGACATAATTTTACCTTTGCAAAATTAAAATGTGGGATGATGCATATTATGTTGCCTAAAAAAACCTTACCAAGCAACAAAACCCAATGGGAAAAATAAAACTTGGTCAACAGGGAAAAAGAGTACAACACATCAATATAGCTGATGATAAGTAAGTATGTTAGGTCTCCCCTGTGTGAAACAAATCAATAAGAGTCCAACATTTACTTGAAAACATCATGGGTTCTTTCATGAAAACATATACTCATTAAGATAATATCAATGAGGTAAGGGGATACCCATCGTTAGCAAAACTCAAACCACTTTACTTTGTGTTAGAGTAATACTTTTGATATTTTCAATTCCTTTAGAAATATTGTTATCATCAATCATTCCAATGGTTTCATATAGATATCAAATTACATTCTTGATACCATTCCAATGACGATATACGATGTGTTGGTCCTGAGCTATTTTTAGCTAACACGTTCTTGAGAATATAATATTTGGTCGAATGTGGTTGTCATAGTACAATCATGCGCATATTGCACTTTCATAGGGAATTCCTTTTCCCAATAACTTTTCAATAATGGACATCTTTTCTAGCATCCATATTTCGACCGATCATGCGAGTGCTAACAATTTACATTTATCCACGTTAATTTGCCTGAGAACTCTTTTGAATACATGCAACTGGTGAATTAATATTCAACCAACTCGGTGTTTAATTTCAAAAACAGACCCGAGTTTCCCAAGATCCTTTATCTCAATTATGAATTTCAAGTATCTAACATGTCTCATGTTCCATTATGAGTACATATTATGTCTCTATCATGGAGATAGAGCGATATTTGGAAACAAAATTTATTCCCATTATAAACGCGCAATGCATAATATATTCATTTTGCATCCCTTTTCAATCAAGTGGTCACTTAGACGGGTATGTCACTCTCGTCTGGATTGATTTAATCCAAATGTGAACGTATATAATGTAATTAAAAACCACTTGATTAGAAATAAAAACATAACTACTTCATCAAAACATAACAACTGCTCTTAAATAAGATTGAGACATTTATTTGGTGACCCCAATCTTTAGCTGCGTCTCCATTACTTTGGAGGCTACTTAGAGATTAAGTATTTGAACATTTTTGTGTTCAAAATAGAGAAGTGTAACTTTTCATATTTGAATCCAGGGCGTAGTGAGAATAATTAGGACATCATTATCTCAATACGCTTTCTAACAAAGAATTATTTTATGTCCTACAGACTTTACACTTGGTTGATTAGCACTATCACACCAAACATCTGTCTCTTTGTCAAATATTAAATTTATACCTGGATTACTTGTACGGATTTAGGCCAATGTTGTTATTGCTTTCATATTGCAATAGAGTATGGTTCGATATCATCGTGCTCTATACTCCTTTGATCAACCTTATAAATATATCAACAGTATAAGTGTAAGGTCTATTATTCGACTCATACACACTCTCATTAACATTGAGATTTATATTCTCTGGAATCATTTAAACTTCGGGGCGTCCCCCATTATGATTCATAGACATGTTTAGTCAGAGATAATCTCATGAGAGGAATTCATATGATGATGAATATATTGGTTTGTGCCTTATCCACCCTCTACTACTTGGGGTGGATAATTAATCAAACCATGTGGCTTCCCTCTGTTCCTTTACAGAGCCACGGCCTCAACCACAACCCCACTGCTTATGATTGCAATGCTTTTTCCTTTAGCATTGTGTCTTTTAATTTAACGTGTTGTAGGGAGAATTATGTGTCGAGTTTCATTACCGAATGCCCCTACAAATAGTGATAGAGTAGGGTTTATAAGTACGGACCAATAGGCCCATAATACATAATTTACATTGAAAGATCCTAATACATATTCTATCTAAACGATAGCACACTACATAGAATTTCCTTCAACATCTCTAATATAATATGTAATATTGTTTGCTCTTCCCCAGTAGAATTATTTGCATGCATGGGCCATGCATAATGGTTCTCTCTCCCCTATCATACATGAACTACATTTCCTATTGGGAAATAGACCTAAATAGGATTAAAAGTCTGGCTGGGAACGTAAATAGGACTGAGAAGTTTTAAACTCCTAAATAAGACTTATTTTGAACGGCCGGACAAAAACACCCCTCCCTTTCCAACATATTCTGCTTTGAACATAGGACACCATCCATCCGCTCTGCAAATCTGATAACGACCGTATTTAACAAACGATTTCAAAGGAGCAGTTGCCGGCGGCGGGTTCTGCGGTCCGCCGCTGGTTCTGCCGGGGCGAGTCATCACCGCAGCAGTCTCCGGAGACAGGCCGGCGGGTAGTATCCTCCTCCAATCCTCCTTCCTCCTCCTCCTCCTCCTCCTCCTCCCACTCCTCCTCCTCCTCCCACTCCTCCCACTCCTCCCACTCCCACTCCCACTCCCACTCCCACTCCCACTCCCACTCCCCCTCCCCCTCCCCCTCCCCCTCCCCCTCCCCCTCCCCCTCCCACTCCCCCTCCCCCTCCCCCTCCCACTCCCACTCCCACTCCCCCTCCCCCTCCCCCCTCCCCCTCCCCCTCCCCCTCCCCCTCCTCCTTTCTCCCTAATTGTTTGCGAGTTTCTTGTGTGCGGTATGCTATACATCTCCATGCTCTTTGGTGAGCTCATCTCACTAGGCTTAGTGCTAGTGGCATTATAGCAGTCATAAGGGATTGGCCGTATCAAAAAGATTCTCCAGAACAGTTATTAAGGGATTGGCCGCACTATAGCACTCTTGATATTTTACGTTTCAATTTTTATTTTTATTTTATTTTGCAAATTCATTTAGTGTAAGTAATATTCTGGATCCATTCATTAATTTAGAAAATCATATCATTGTGACAATGAAATAATAAATGTTGTGACATTGTTTATCATACATAACTAGTGTCATGGAGTTACAATGACATATCTTGACACAATGACAACATCAGTGAAAATGTCATAAAAATGCAATGTCAATGTATAAAAATGTCACCAGGTTAAAAAAAATATCACAATGACAATCTCATTGTCGTTGCTATAAAATATGACAATGTCAATAGTTATTATGACAATTTTAATTTTATAAAAAAAAAAGTCGAAACGTTGAAAAAATGTTGTAATGGCACGATGACAATGTCATAAAAATGTCAATGACAATGTCATAAGAATGTTAATGACAATAATGTCATAAGAATGTCAATGACAATGTCATAAGAATGTCAATAACAAAGATATAAAAAATGACATTTCAACAAAGATATAAAGATAATGTCATTGTTAATATTATGACAATGTGAAATAATAACAATGTCATTGGAATGAGACACCTTTGAAAAGAATGTCAATATTACAAAACTTTCAAAATGTTAAAATCATTTATCAACATTGTCATTACGAATTGTGTGACAATGTTGATATCTTGTAAATTTATGTGACTACACATGTAAATTTTACATTAACAATGACATTTGAATAAAATATTATCTAAAAATAATTAATAGAAAACTAATAATAAAAAATTAATATAAAAAAGTTAGAACTTGAAAACAAAATTAGATAAACAAAGAGAATACCATTCAAAAAAACAAATAGATTAAGAAACTGGAAGGTCTGAATTCGAAACCAAAAAAATTAGGAGAACAAAAAAAAGCATGTCCGCATATGAACTTAACGTACGGCAAAGCAGCGGAAAAATTTCCCCACCCCAGATCTACCCAAGCAGTCGAAGAAAAGAAGTAGAAGATGCAGAAGAAGAAGAAGAACAGAGGAAGAAGAAGAGAAAGAAGAAAGAAGAAGATGAGAGGATAGAACGCACTAGGGCCTCCCGCTGCAGCTGCCGCGGTGCCGCGTCTTCCTTGTTGAGCCGCCTCCACGCTGCCGTGTCGCCGTATTTTCACTGCAATGCCACTACAGCTCAACACATCGGTTATTTTGTACGGTGCTAGGCCTTGAAGCTGCTCTGCTTAGCTATGGATGAAGGAGAGAGGGCTCAGGGAGCTTGTCGAGGAGCGATAAGGTTTGCGTGAGAGAAAAAGGTAAAGTTGGAAAACAGGGGCAGTTTTGGTAACCAGGAAAAATTTGGTCCTATTTACGAGTTAGAAGCTGTTCCGTTCGTCTTAATCTTATTACTTATTCCTTAATCTTATTTTATTCAGATCAGATCAGATCAGATCAGAAAGATTCAGATCAGATCAGATCAGATCAGAAAGATTCAGATCAGATCAGATCAGATCAGAAACATTCAGATCAGATCAGAAAGATTCAGATCAGATCAGCAACATTCAGATCAGATCAGAAAGATTCAGACCAGATCAGACCAGATCAGACCAGATCAGAAACATTCAGATCAGATCAGATCAGATCAAAAAATTCAAACATGATTTATCACTTTTATTATTATATTAATTATGATTATTATATTATAGTTGTTAATAATATTAATATATTAATATAATAATATTATTAATAATAATATAATAATAATGTTAATAATATAAAATTATTATTATATTATAATAATATAATATAATATAATATAATATAATTTAATATAATATAATATAATATAATATAATATAATATAATATAATATAATATAATATAATATAATATAATATAATATAATATAATATAATATAATATAATATAATATAATATAATATAATATAATATAATATAATATAATATAATATAATATAATATAATATAGTATAGTATAGTATAATATAATATAATATAATATAATATAATATAATATAATATAATATAATATAATATAATATAATATAATATAATATAATATAATATAATATAATATAATATAATATAATATAATATAATATAATATAATATAATATAATATATTATAATATAATATAATATAATATAATATAATATATTTATAATTATAATTATAATTATGATTTACAATGTAATTATAATTATAATCATCATTATTATTAATATGATTGTTGTTCTTGTTGTTATTTTTGTAATTATTATTACTTCGGAGTAATTATATATTTAAATTAGTATTTATAGATATAATTATGATTATAGAGATAAATATTATAATTATAATTACAAAAAAAAATTATAAAATTAATCATAATTAAAAATATAATTACATTTATAATTGTATCTGTATTTATAATTAGTGTAATTGGTATAATTATTATAATTTTAAATTTAATTTTAATTATTATTTTTTTATAATTATGATTATAATTGTAATTTTATTTAAGTTATATTTTTAATTACAATTATAAATCTAATAATTATAATTATAATTACAATTATAAAAATATTCAAATCAGATCAGAAAGATTCAGATCAGAAGAATTCAGATCAGATCAGAAACATTCAGATCAGATCAGAAACATTCAGATCAGATCAGATCAGATCAGCAACATTCAGATCAGTTCAGCAACGTTCAGATCAGATCAGAAAGATTCAGATCAGATCAGAAAGATTCAGATCAGATCAGATCAGAAAAATTCAGATCAGATCAGATCAGATCAGAAAAATTCAGATCAGATCAGATCAGAACTTAAAAAATTCAGATCAGAAACATTCAGATCAGGTGAACGGAACAGCTTCTTAAAAACTTAGAGGTCCTATACGCGTACATATACTTATTTTTGGTCCTATATGGAACCATTTCTCTTTCCTATTTCCAATACTATATATATGCACACATATGCGTAAGAAAACCAAGTGAGAAGAGTAACATTTTATCTCTTCATATACGAGTGCTGCCAAGATGAGGCTAGTAACCCCACCCGTGCGTTGCACGGGGACTGAAGCAGTTGCATTGGAATTTAGATAAATTATGTAAGAAGTAAGAAAAATGTTGATAGTCAATCAATTACTTGAAGTCATGTTTGATATGAAATTAAAAATTAATGCTCAAAGTTAAATATGAATCACGATATTGTAAATAGGTGTGCATGTTTGTCCACAAAATTGTCAAAAAAATTATAAATTATTATAAACTTCTTTGTAAACAACGTTTAATGCAGACTTTGTTGGTTGTCCGTCTTTGCCACGTATGACAAACTTCAATCCAGATGGACTTGTTACTCTCGAGACGGCCACGTATAACAGTCCATGCGTAAAAATGGGCCGCCGGAGGAAGATACCTACTTTTTTCAATGATTGTCCCTGACTCTTATTAATGGCATTGCATAGCTAACCATTAACGGAAACTATTTGCGCTGAAAAATGAAAGCTAAGGGAGTCTAACGTCTTATGGTGTTAAAGTAAGTTGAGGAATAAGAAACTGTTTACCAGCATTTTCTTTGTGCATCATCAGAGCCTCAATAATATGATCTCCAAGTTTAGTAAGCAAAAGTCGTGTGCCATTGCACAATTCAAATGAATGATCTATACTCCTCATAAGCATCACAAGAACCCCCACTTTTAGCGTTAGCTTATGACTCGGCAAACCTAAACATTTAATGCTATTGAGAAATTCAAGAGAATGTATCTCATGTAAGAGGTCACCATCTGCTAGGTGAAGAAGTTGAATTTGAGCTTAGATAAGTTTTTAACTCTGAATCTATGTGACTCAACATGTAATCGGTGACTTTATCAACCTCATCTATGGTCAGAGAAGGAATAGCTCTGGAATAAAGATAAGAAATCGGATCACTCTGAGTCAAGAAGTCGGGATAAATAACTTGAAATATAGATTCAACACGATCGGACGTCATTGGAGCAATCATATCGTCAGATATTTCAATGAGTAATTCTCCATCCCGATTTTCGTCAAAAGCGTCATCCCCTATCTTTAAAATCCAATCCCCAAAAGATTGGATAGCTGGTCCATCAGGCTCACCCGCCATCCTTGTTAGCCTCATGTTTTTAGATAGTCTCACTACGGTACAGAATGACCAGAGAAATGAGTTGTTCAGTGATGCATGCACAATATCTTGTCTCGTGCCTTTCAGAATCACAGGAAGTATCTGCCTAAAGTCACTACCAAATACAATAGTCTTTCCACCAAAAGGCAAGCTCACATCACAATGGCGTGTATTTAAGCCCATCTCGCATATCCCTATCAAGAGCCTCGAAGCAGTGTCGGTGTGCCATCGGTGCCTCATCCCATAAAATCAATCTGTATAACTGGATCAACTTAGTCAATGGACTACCATGTTTTATATTTCACAATGAGTCTTCTATCATGTTAAGTGGAATCGGGAATCTCAAAGGTGTAGTCCTTCCTCCTATCATCCTATACCGCTGGAAGCGACATTAAGCACTATATCGTCCATGCGTTGCATGGGATGTAAACCGCATATATTACAACATTTAAATGTAATTATAGATATTATATTTTATTATGTGAATGAGAGTGACCATTAATATAATAACAACAAATATTAGAAGTTTAATAAGCACTCACTTTAATATTCTACCCGTGTGTGGCACAAGATGAACTTTAATTATTATAGGCATTATAATTATTACTACCTCTGTCCCATAATGGTTGTCTTGTTTCAATTTGGCATGGTTATTTATAAAGTGATTGAGAAGTATAAGTTGCGGTTGAGATTTGAGTAAAAAAAAAAAGAAATGATATGTACCACAAATTTCTTACCAAAAGGGGAAACATGACATCCATTTTGGGACAACTCAAAAAGGAAAGTAAGACAACCAAAATAGGTCGGAGAGAGTAATATACAAACACATCTAATAATATGGATATAGAATTAAAATATTAATTTTCACAGCAAAAAGAAAATCATAAATAAACAATACAAAGTATTAATATTAGAAGTTTAACAAAACACATATTTCAAATTTTGAAGATCTAAGTGTAGACAATGCCTTTGGGAGTTTTTTCGATTTTTTTTACTCCCCATATGAGTATATGACAAACTGAATTTTTTTTTTTAAGTAGAAAGTGTTCATTGTCATTGAGTAATAAACCATTAGTAGAAAACATCCATGATTTTCAATGATATTCGATCACTCTTGCTCAAATAGGAGTAAGTCAGATTAAATCCGAGTTTTCGCGAGTTCCAGTCTCGGGCAGCACATGGTCCCGTTTTATTCTTTCATTTTTGAGGTTTAAAAAAATGGTTGATCTAGGATCGGAACTGCCTGGTTCGATCCGCAAATAGGTGAACCGAGACCAGGTGCCATTCTTGGATGGACATGAGCGATCCCAGGCCCAAAACCGGAATTTTTCAACATGGTCTAATCCCAAACAGTTTCGGACACTCTGACCCAATACCAAAACGGGTCTATCCCTACTCATACAACAACAACAACAACATCCAAGCCTTAGTCCCAAACGATATTGGGGTCGGCTAACATGAATCGATATATGATATCACATTATCACCAAAAGGAAAAGAAAGAAAATAAAGATAAAAAAGATAAGCTATTATAAAAAAAAGATAATATAAAAGAGATGAATATACATATAAAAGATCAAATAAAAAGGATAAATTAATATTTATATATAAGGATAAAGATATAAAAGAAAAAGAAAAAAGAAGAAGAAGAAGAACAAAAAAAAAAAGATGATACAAGATCACTCCTCAACACGAATACCCGCCCTCCATTTTGCTCTCTCCAAAGCCATACCCTCATCCAATCCAAGAAGAAGCATATCACTCCATTTTGCTCTATCCCTACTCATATTTGAGGAAAATGTCTTATGTTCCACCCATGATTGGAGAATTTTTTCTTTGAAGTAATGAGTGTGTTTTTAACTGAAATCCTATTTTATTGAAAAGATAGCAAGAGAAATCATACAAATTTTATTTAAGCAGCAAATTGTCCCAAAGAAAAATTCATCATCATCAATATGAAAAGACTAAACAACACTTTAGTGGCTTGAAAGTTTAATTTAAATTAGATTAGTCTATTCTATAAAGGATGGAGACCCTGTAGAAGATAAATGATACAGAGTACATAGTAAATGTTAGCTACAACATTAGATTATAATGGCATTTTTAAGATTAACTATGTTACAAACATTTCCATTCTCAGGTTTTGAAGAACTAATATGGTTTGATAGCAAATTCACTATTATGAAGAAATTAGGAGTTTACTTGTAAAATAGACTACGAAAATAAAGACGGCCTAAAAGGGAGTTTTTTATATAATTAAAAAACACATTAACAACTATTGAATAGTTGATTTGCAAATATATTAGAGTGCAACTTGAATAAAAACGTCCTAATCAGTTTTGGCGTTTTACCAACTACAACTATGATTCTATGAACCATTAACTTTCCTATTGCTACTACATTGGCATATTCTCTTAGTTCTGGTATGCAAAACCTAGTGGTTACTTCATCTTCTTGTTAGTTGTTACTGGAATCTTTTCAAAAGTAAGGTGTAACAGTTCTCTGCTTCATGTATCTTCAATCTTTATAAGACCATTAAAACATCCACACAAA